AGCCGAGCCCGGCAGCCCCGCGGCGGTGCCGTGGGAGGCGGCCGCAGTCCCGCTGTGAGGAGTGGTCCCATGAAGATCTGCATTCCTTGCTTCACAGGAGACTTCTCATTTTTCAAAGTATTCACGGCAATAAACTTGTACTGTTTATAACTGAGCATGAAGCATCAATATACCCCCTAATATTCTTCAGGTGTCTTCCCTAATCTTCTAGCAGGTCATGCCAGGGAAGCTTTGAACAGTTTGAGACCAGGGAGTCTTGACTCCATGGTCCTAAAGCTTTTTTCCAGCTTAAATAGTTCTGTGGTAGAAATGGAACTTCCCTCTTCTCAACTGCCTGAGGCTTGTCCTGGAGGATGTACAGCATGAAATGATCAGTACAGATCAGCAGATGTAAAACTTCTGAAAGCATGAGCAAAAAACCCTGAACCTGTTACTTGTAGAGTATATAACACACATGCCTAGATCAGGAGAGTGTCATACACAGTTTACCTAAGTCTTTACCTTCCTACAAATGAAGATTTCAGCGTGGGACTCTAGCACCAGAGAACAACTTATTTTTAGCTTTTGCTTGCACTCAGAATATCAAAAGTGTGAATTGCCTGAATTGTCAGCTGGAAAAAAAAAGTGCATGTTTGTGTCCTGTCAGCTAAACCAGTAACTGCCAGGGGACAAATTGTTTTCAAACAGCCCAGAGGTTGTGTGAAAGATTAAGGCAGACCTTCCTCCTCCTCCTCCTCTGCCATAGCCCAGTGTGCTGGGTTATGATAAAACAGATACCAACCTTGTTGTCTCTTTAGGTCTGTGATGCTCTGCACACTGGCTTCAGTCTCTGCTTTGAGGCTGTTGGCTGAGGACAGATCTTTCTTAGCCCTTCTTGGTCCCGTGGGGCTGTGGATTTGAGATTCCAAATTGTGCAGGTGCCAGAAATCCTAAACAAACAGCAGTGCCTCTTCTGTGGGATGACTACTTCATCTGGTGTCCTTCGCTGCTTGCTCTGAGCTGCTCTGTGCCCTTTGACACAGCTGCACTGCAGGCCCAAGGCCCTTCTAATAAAACTTGCTTTTGGTTTACTCTTCAAACTGGCTTGAGGATTTTTTTGAGCATTATTTTCCCATTTTCTTTTTGTTCCTAATAAGTATGTTTCCTTTAAGTAGCACTGGAGCATCAGTTAATTGTAGCTCAGCTTAAAAAGCGTAGCTCATAGGTGTGTTTCTTATGAATTACTGGCCATTTTCAATAAGGGGGGGTTGTGGAAAACTGCTGCTTCTCAAAAATTGAGTTCAAAGGCTGTTTAATCTAGAAGATCAAGCCACCCAGGAATGCTGCCTGCTCTTAGCAAGCAGTGGAGGATGGAGTGCTTCGTTGGAGGGATGCGGTTCCTTTTAGTGTTCTGTGAAGGTAACCGGTGTACCAGAATCATCACAATATTGTTTTTATTTTCAATCAGACAATTATATAGTTAAAAAACTGGATTTACCTCTTAAAGATGATTCCTCCTGCCAGAAGAACCTGAACAGCTGGTAACTTCATGTGGCTTCTAAAAGCCCAAATGCAGAATCTTCAGCTGAAGACAAAATCCTTTTGCCACTTCTGTTTGTTGTTTCAAAGTCGCAAATCAACCTGAACTGTTGTGTGCAGTGGATTGACACTGTGACAGTGCCTTGGGAAATGTTTAAAAACCATCTTTGCATGACTCTGTGACATCAGCTGGTCCATTCAACCAGCTCCTGCACTAAGTCACAGACTCTCCCAACAGCCCTTGAGTGAGGAGAAGGGACAGGGTCAAACCCTGCATTTTTATCAGACAAAAAGTGCCCATTTTCAGACCTGGTATAAACTTAGTAGTGCTCTAAATGAATTGCAGCTTGAAGGCTGTGACATAATTGAGATAAAGATTGTGGCAGAAAAATGAGAATTGGGTGCCAAAACCACAGGGCAAGATGGGAAATGCTGACAGGAGCAGAAGATTGACAAGATAATGTGAGGAGTGGTCAAGAAAGATGATGGACGCAGACGAAAAATCCATGTTAATGGGAGCATATGTGAACTGTGTAAGAGCTTTCTCCTTGTCCTGTCAGCACTCTTCTGACTTGTCCTTTGCAGCTCGCTCACACTGCTGTGGAGAGAGCAGAAAGAGTCTTGACATCTAGTACTCAACGTGCCCCACGAGCACAATCTGTGTTCCTGATGTTTTCCATGTTCAGACTGGAGAATGAAAGGACTCAGCCCATCAGTACGCTGTGTCCTGGCTAGAGCAGGAGAAAAGTGAGGAGGAGAGAACCCTGAGCAGGTTCCCCTGAAGCTGTAACTTTACTGCTGTGGAACAAAGAGCCAGCTTCCTTAGCGGCTGTGTGTGAGCCGATAGTGCTTCTGGAAGCACCTTGCTCTGGATATCCGGTACCTGCCGAGCGCGAGGAGAGCTGAGGAGACCTGAAGTCTTGGCTCTGTTTCCATAGCATGGATCTCAGCTTTGTTCATGGTGGTAACCACTGAACTTCCCTGTGCCAGCTACAGCAGTCGCCCAAGTATTTGTTTTCTTTAGAAAAGCATTATTTGACACAATTTTAGTCCCTTGCTGCACTTCAATCACTAGAAGCGGGGAAAAGATCCAGCACCAGTTCAAATCCCAGTTCTCCATGGCTCGGTGGAGATGTTTGATGGGTCACATATGGGAACAGTTGTTGGCACCTTGTTACCATGTCAGGTCCTAAATCAACATAGTGTTTGTGGTGGTCTGCAGAACATGAGCTCTGAAGTACAGCACTACACAGAAACATCCTTGCTTTACAGTGGACTCAAAATCCAGGGAAAGTCTTTTTCAGAGGAACATCCAGCTGCAAACCATCAGTGGCCTAAGATGCTAACACCATTGGATTCTCTGTGCCTTGCTTGTCACTGTAGTGTAACTTTTTGGTCCATTAGCTTCTGCCTTGGCCTTATTCTAGCAAACTCCTTTTAGCCCACAGAAGAAGAGTGTTTAATAACTTCTCTCTCACAGAGCAGCCAAACAAGAATAAATGCTGCAGAACAAGTCTCCTTACCCTCATTTCCCAAAACACACAGGTCTGAACCTGTGGAGAGGTTGCCTTGTTATATAACCTAGCTGCAGCCGAGGCTGCAAACCTCCCAAAAACCAGAGCAGGAGTTGAGTAACCTGCGCCCCCCGCAGGCCGGGCTGGGGAGAGCCGGCACTGGCACAGCCAGGCTATAAAGCAACGCCAGCCTCTTGCTTGAGTCTGCAGGGAGATTGCCCCGAGGGGTTCGAGACAGCAGAGTGCTGAGCTAAGCAGCTCCTTTCACCCCTCGAGTGGACACAGGCTAGGAGTGCACCCCACCCTGCTCCACCGTGCTCTTCAGGCTTCTGATGGATGGATGCTTCCCAGTTCTATCCAAATGGCTTTTATTACCATGTGCTTACGTGCAGTTTGGATGATGCTCATGTTTCATTAACTTTGAATTTCCAGTGACTGCTTGTCAGTTTTTTTTCCCTGTTGACACTGCAGATTTCTTAGGAGTTGTGTGCCAGTTAAATGCATAACTCCAGCTCAATCAAGGCCTCACTTGGGTTACAGCTGTGGGCACACATGGACACTTTTCTGCAGCTTGTAGCCTACCTGGTGTCCTACAGTTATCTTGCACAACAGAAACACAGTAAAGAAAAAAGGTGTTTCATAATGCTGGGACTTTAAGGGTAACCCCTGTAAGTGTTGTCCTAGCTGGAGGAGCAAACCCTGACTCCTGTTGTTTAAGCAGGAGTTGGAAGCATTGGCCACACTGCCAGAAAGTGGCTGCGCAGCCCTCTCTTTTACAACGTGCTGCTCATTTCTGAGGGACTTTGCCAGTAACGAATTTATCAAATCCAGCTGCCTCCTTTGCTGGAGCTCTGGTGTTCTCCCTGTGAAAGCCTCCCACCAGCCTTAATGCTAATCCCATAGAAATCAAGGGGATTTGGGCCACTTCACTAATGTTTTCCTACAGGCTGTTGCTCCTGGCTTGTGCAGGCTGCCTGTGGCTCCTACCCTTATCAGCATGTTTCAGATTTCTTTTTAACTCCCTCTCACCCACAAAGGCGTTCATGGTAAAGGGCTGAACAGTGACTCCAAGAGGCAAAGCGTCTTTTTTCCAAGGTACAAGTTTGTTGTACAGCCATATGTCCCACACATGGCACATGTGCTATGGCCATAAGCAAAGGGGAGCCTAGGAGTGAGCTCTACGTTTACATCACTAGGAAATGTAAATGCCCTCTGGGGAGTGGTGGGAGGAAGGAGAGGCCTTTCTCTAACTCCAAATCTCTTCAGCATAAGCCATATTCTAATTCTGCAACTAAAGGAGAAGCTAAACTGATCGCTGAGCAGAACTAATCTCTCAAGTTCGTGCAGCTCGCACTTCCCACAAAGCCAGCGTAGTGGGGGGGAGCTGTGCTGAGAACGTTCCCACCTCCCAAGTATGGATCCACATTCCCTCACCACTGGAGCAGTGGGAGTGACCTCAGCCTTCGTGGTAACTCAGCTGGGTTACAGCAGGCACACGTCCAAACTCATTTAACTGTTCGCTACATGGCAAGGCAAGTGAGCTTCAGTCTGAGATTAAGGCACTGACCTTTGCTTGTGAGCCTGGTTTCTGATGAGCTGCAGTCAGTGGAGCCCAGAGAACAGTTCAGCTCGCCTGGAGCTCCAGGAGACACTGCTGGGCAGGACGATCTGAGCTCACCCGAAAAATGTTTGCACTGAAGTACAGGGTAAGCTGAGACACTGCATAGGTACAGATTGTTTAAAATGTTTTCAGTTTCTAAAGAGGCTTTATTCTAAAGAGCTGACCAACCACCCACCAAGGGTTTAAATAAGAATTATTCAACACTTTCACAAAGTTTCTCAGTAGGGAATGCCTGGGTCACAAGCCTGCTTGTGTGTCCCTGATGGGGTGTCCGGGGTGTCCAGTGAGAGTGGAAAACCCACTGAATCCAGGCACTGGGATAGATGTTCACAGAGACTCATCAGAAACCAAAGATGCAAGGTTACACAGCACATCTGGTCACTTCTAAACAACTGTATTTAAGACTGATAATTTTTATTCTCAGGTTTGTTTTTTTTTTTTCAATTAATTTTTGATTGTTTCAATATATTTAAGTAGGGGGCTTATGGAGACAGATAAAATGTATTCAAACATTCCATTTCTAGCAATAGTTTAATTAAGCTTGGATAAATTAGATTCTGCTTTAGCAGAGTGTTAAGAACTTTTTAACAGGTCTACATTTTATTGCAGGCTATATTTACTCATTCAGTGTCTGATCAAGAGGGTATTCCACCACTGACAGACTGCAAGTAGGGACCATAAAGCCAAAGTATTAGCTCGGATCTTTTGCTAGATATATGTGTAACTACGTGTACCGAGAAGCCCAAAAAATGCACAAGAGTTCTCACAGTGGTAAGGGAAGCAACCTTGTAATTAGCCATCTGCACACAGATGAAACTCTCATTAAACTTATTGGTGTAAATAGTGATTCAGGCACTCAGAGTTACTTTCCCTGAAGCCCAGTGCCACACACTCCTTGAGGAACAGAACAAATATTTAATAAACAGAGTATGTTACATTTTCATGGTAATGGCACAGCTTGCCTATTTTTAACCAACCTCTTCTTTACATAAGGCCTTGATCATCTGAGCTGTGATGTGCCTGTCTGATTTACCCATAATGCCATCTTCTCTGGGGCTCCTGCTTGGCATTTCTTCTGGTTCTTTATGAATAGGCATGGCTCTTCCAACCACACACATCAGCCCCGTCTCCAGAGGACCCAGCTTTAAGTATTCCTTAAGAAGAAAGAATATTCCAATGCAATTACATCAAAAAGCAGGCATTCTTCAAAAAAGAAGTAACTTTCCTTTTAAGCAAGAGTGAAGCTGCTGCCCTGGGCTTGCTGTGTTTGGTAATGTCAGTGTTAATGGCTTGGTTCAGCTCAGGGGGCTGCAGCCCTGCTGCCCTCTTCTTTTCCTATGTGTTTCCACCAAGAAGGCTTTCTCCGCAAACCAAATTCTGCTCCCAGGTTCAGTTCTGTGAGAACTAATCCAACAGCTCACTACTGCCAAAAAAGACAGATCCAAGGCTGGCCATGTGCTTCCACCATGTCTGTGCTGGCTCTGGTCCTCTCCAAAGCTCTGAGTCAATTCAGTTGACTAACCCAACAGAAAACCAACTCAGGAGCAGAGAAAAAGGCAAGCTTTTCTGCTGGGTTAGCGAGTGAATCAGCCTCAGAAGAGGCTGCCGTGCACTGCGGGTCCCCTAAGGGCAGGAGCAGGACCACAGAGCCAAGGCCAGGCAGAGGGAAGAAGGAACCCTACAGTGCAAGCTCCTGAATCACCTCTCTTTAATAAATTATTTTCGTAATACTTGCCAATGCAACTCCACTGTTTGCAATTATCCCTTCGTTGTTAGGAACTACAAGAAAGTCAGCAGCACCCCTGGCCCCCCGTGGGGTGGGCTCTGCAGTGCTAACAGCAGGAAGAAAGAAGCAAAGCTGGAATTCCTCTCCCAAGGCAACAACGACCAGGGAACAAACACCTGGACAGATATATTTTCATTAAATGTTCACCTTTTCTCTGCAGTGACTCTTTAGGACAGAGCCACTCCTTAAGTTAGTCTTTGATCAAGGAATCAAGGAGGATTTCTCTGAACACAAACTGCAAGGTATTAATCAAACTAATGCCAAATTTCTAGAAAGAGTTGTCATTTGGTTTTTTTGTTTGTTTTATTTTAACTCATTATTAAGTTTGACTAGAATACTCAAGAGTAAAGAAGCATTATGAAGTATCTTTACACAGCAAGCCCTGCAGTCTGCATCACGTCCAGATCATCTGCTTTAATTTGCAGTACGAATGGATGATGTAGAGTAATACAATTTATAAGCAATTAGTTTATTTAGAAATATATTCAAGTTTTCACAACTCTAGACTGTAGTACCAAAGGTACCCAGGAAACATTTTTGTAACCTAGGACTGAGGGTCTCCTGAAGCAGGTGCCACCACCTATTTCAAGAACTACACAGACTCTGCCTATAACCTGCACCTTTTTATTTTCTCAAGCCCTGTATTTTGCACTCAGGAACACCTTCACCCTGGCACTCCGTGGAAGGACTGAAAGACCTGTTGATCCATTAATGCTACTATGTAACGTAAGTTCTAAAAGGATCAGCATCCAAGCAAACAATCTGTGCAATTATGGTCACTTGGTAACATTCAGAATTCTTTCGGGGGGAATGTGACCCTCACGCATGCCAATTCCTGGGACACCATTCACTTGCCAAAACAATGTGTCTATCAGAAATGCTCTAAGGAATCCAAAACATCCACACAAGGCTGACCTGTGTGACAGAACTTACTCTCTTTTGGTCCAGCATCTGAAGGACAGGGAGTGTCCCCACCATCTCCAGTAGCACCAGATTTCAATGATTAGGTATCTGAATTGTACACTGGGTAAAAGACATTGGAGTTTTTTCTGCTGTAGCACCACAGGGAATAGAATGCCCCTGGCAGTGGTTCATGCTCCACACTGAAATAAAGTACTTTCACTAACAAATATAACTCCTACCTGGAAATCTCTTTCATCTTCATAAAACACACTGTCAAGAGCAGAAGACTTTTCCAGCAGCTCTTTGTCACTGTCTTGAAGCTTCTCACTCTCTGTTTTAGACTGAATCTTTGCAAAGGTCTTTTTTTTCTGACAGAGGGCTGTGGTGCTTCTGAGGCCTTCCTCTCCATCTGCTTTTGCTATTTAAAGAGATGAGCAGTGATCTGTATATAGTTGTGGAGCTGTACAAAGACCAGACCATTAATACCCAGTATGAGCACTGCCTGCAGTCTGTAACGTGGCTTGGCCAGTGTGAGGTAATGAACAGTTCGTGAGGGTCTTTAATTGGCAATCCAAGCCAAACGTTGATTTTGCTCACTGATTTTTTCTATGTTTATTTCTGTTCATAATTTCTGAGCAAGATCAGGGACTGAAATTGTTTGGGAGTTAGAAGTAATAGGTCTGTGGGTTGGGGCAGGAAAAAAAATTAGCTTTTATCAGATCAGCTTAAGTCCTATATAGCCATAGATAGTTAAAAAAATAGGAAAGGCATCAAAAACAAATAAAAACTTTTTTTTTTTTATATCAAGGTATGTATATATGTACAGGTTCCTAAAACTCAGCTACTCCACTTACAACTCCCCTGAAGAGCTCATATTTGCAGTTGACTGATTCTCAGGATGAATAACAATGACTTGACCCCAGCTTATTGGAACAAACCCTACTCCTCCCAGGAACTGCTGTAAATGTCTAGCAAAGGGAATAGAGCTGAACTGTTCAAAATAAACATACATCTAACTCACAAGTCTTAGCCAACAGGCTTGCTGGTGCCTGAGGGTTCCAGAAAGGCTCTAAACATATGGCTGGAACTGCTCAGAACTTCAACAGACCTGTTCACGTATTAGTAACTGCATGGCTTCTGTTTTTGCAACTTAGCTCTTCAATTTAATTTTGTCCTTTTTTTTCCCCTCTTCTATTCATATAAAGTGAGTACATAAACATATGATGCTAAGGAATCCACACAAACCACCCTGAATGGATAAGCACACTCATCCAGTGCTTCTTGCCTAAGGGTGTATCCTTTTCCTGGGCACGCCTATCAGAACAGATGGAGATTCAACCCAAAATTCAGCACTGCTTATCAAGATCTTCAGGCTGAGCTCCTCATAGCTTCATCTGCTCTTGCTAGGGATTTATTTATGATTTAACTCTGGTGTATCTCTATGAGCTGAATGACAGTAAAGTGCAGGTCCACTTCAAATCAAAGCCAGTGTAGAGTTCAGGGGTGTCCTCTCAGGGACAAGATCTAATGAAAATATGATGATATCAGTAAAGAACTGATTAAAGGTATGAATCATACCTTCATAAAAGATAGCTGATCCTGTTAACCACATTCCAGGTGAGCTCCATATGAGTAATTACACTCAACAATCTAAACATCAATTTCAATTTTAAGACTGTATTACAGGTAGATTGTGGTTTTGTTTTCTTAATGCAAACTACAGTCTATCATTGCTGTGGTGTCTGCCAAGTGAGAAATTAAGTGTTCAGCGTGTCAAACAGGCAGGTTGATAAAAAAAAATGAGGAAATAAAAAGCATGTAAATGTTCAGTAACTCATCAGTTCTTACAAGCTGCTGGCATGTGCATTACCTTCATACTCTACTTCTTTCATTTCATCCTTAGGAAATTCATCTTGCAAGCCAGTTGCCTGGGTAGGAAACAAAAGCCTATGAAATTAAAAAAGTGAAACACATGTTAGAAGCATGAATTATCTCTCTAAATTGTCCTGTGCAGTCTTTTGGGGTGAGAGGGAGGGCAACTTTTCTGAAAGCCATTTGCTGCTTCACTACAAAAGCAGACTAGTGCAATGGTTTAAAAATGCAATGGAGGCAGCCAGGTAGCTTAGTAGCTAATAAGCTGCTCTTTTTTATTCTTAGTGCCTAAGTTCAACTATGTCCATGAGACTAAAAGAAAACAAATGTTATAGTCTCCAGTCAGTCCAAGATTCAAACCACAGCTGGCAGCTCTCACTTAAAAGCAGTCCAAATTTTGGAGAGAAGAGAAAAATGGTCACTTCTTCAGACTTGGAACTTTCTTCTGCAACATGGCTGAAATCACTGAGCTGGGACTGGAAAATGGAGATGGATCATTCCCATTGTTACACTGTGCTTTTGATGCCATTAGTGTTGAATTTCTGCAGCTAAAGTTATCTTTGTCTAGGGAACAAGTTCAATAATTTCAATATAAATGAAACTAATAGTACAGGCACCTCTGCAGACAGACTTATCCCAAGGCTTATTCCTTACTCAGTACCAGGTCATCTGTTTCACCCGAGATTGCAAAACCTTGTGTGTTTACATCTTAATCTTCACATCCTTAAACATTTTGCCAATGGTAAAGGAAAAATCTATTACTCAGCAGTTGGTCTGAGAAGCTGGGTCTGAGACAATTACAAAAGAAAGAAACAATTTCCAAGCCCCAGTGGTAACCCCGCTAAAAGAAAGCAAGTGCTGCTAGGTCTTAACAGATTAGTAAAGAACCCAGTGTCCTCCCTTTGGTGTTTAGGAGGTCCCAGTGTCACGGTCATCCTTCAGAGACACAAGTCCTGAACACACTCAGTCAAATCTTGCCTCATCACAACCAGGAAACAACCCCGGCTTTGTTGTGGGAGAGCCCAAATAGCTCTGGGAGGAGGGAAGGCATTATCTATTTTTAACAACAACAAAAAAAAAATCCTTTTTGAATCTGTAAAGGCATCATTTTACCTGGCTACTCTCAGATTCTGAAGTCTGCCATCCATCAGTTTTGTCACTAAACGGATATTTTCTTCTTCCAGGAGCTGAATAGAGGCTTTCAAATCACTTACTTCCTTTTGGTACAACTTAACCTTTTGACAATTTAAAAAAACAAACAAACAAAAACAATCATCTTAGAAAGACTATACCCATTTTGGAAACCTTTCCTAGTAAATATCTTAACAGCACATACCTAGAAAGAATGCAGCTCTATCAGCAAACTCGGCTTTTGGGGAGAAACATAGTGACACATTTTCAGGCAAAGGGAAGGCCTCTCTGGTTCTCTCACACCTTTTCAGAGTCCTTTACTGGTACAACTCTGTCAATCATGGCCCCACATTTGGGATACGCAACCCTGGTAGCAGAACCTTCTCCTGTAGCCAAACAGGTCTGGGAGGCAGCAGCTGTGTACTCTTCTCTTTTCCTTTCACATTAGAGATTTGAGAGAGAGAAAAACCTTCTTTGTAGACTTAAATTCAGGCTCTTGCCCAGCAAGTGCTGCTTTTCTAATTCTGCCCATACCCAAAACCTTCTTACCCAGCGAAGCTTTCAGCCCAAGTTAGCCACGACTTTGGCTAATCCCTGGGTTCTACTCTCTTTTGGACTGGTAATTGCCCCATATTGCCATGGAGTTGTATTAACTGAAGGATACCAGTTATTTAGCTCCCACAAGTCTTCCCACTCTTCTTGAAGTACCAGCAAGTTCTTACCCCCCCATCACTGCGAAGTGGAACATATTATGGGACAGATACCTTCCCAGAAACCTTAGTCATACACGCGTTTAAAAGCAGTACCTAGTGATCTGAATGCATCTGTTCTCACCAAAGCCAAATTAACCCAGCTATAATCATCCAAATTTGTAGTTAAAAACTAGTTCCCACTTCTCCCAGGGATTAAAAGAGGTGAAAATGACAGGACATTAACCAGTAACAGGATGTGGCTTGGCACAGTGAGGTGATGCAGCTTTGCACCATCTTGGTGTGACACACTAATCATGGAAAAATGTGACTGAAGTTTCCAAATCTGTTCAAATTTGGAGACAGCTAGTTTAGGGCTGGTTTGGTAAGTCATTCTTCAGTTCAGTGGCCAAATTAAAAAAAAATCATAAATTTTGAACTGGGACAAAACTGAAATTCTTGGTTTGTCTGCCCAAAAGAAAACACTGGAAGAGTCTGTCAGCTACATATACACATTAGCCTGAAAGAAAATATTTCATGTGTATAAGAGAAGCAGAGAAAATGAATGGGTGAATTCAGAGGACTAGAGAAGTTAGTGATAATAGTTCTGTTTTCCACAATAATTCAAAGCACTAATTCATGACATAGGAAACTAATTCATAGCATTGGAAACCTCTGTTTGAGAGGAAAGATACCCAAATCCCTCAACTCCGAGGTGAGAGCCTGTCAGGACATAAAAGTACTCCAAAGTGAATCTCCCTTGTTGACACTGCTCAATGTGTGTTGTGGTTTGAGGCTTGGA